TGACCATCCGATATGTTTCTATTCAAAGAAATTTAATCGCCATCAACTCAATTACAGTACCATAGAAAAAGAAGCATTAGCTCTTTTGTTAGCTCTTCAACATTTTGAAGTTTACGTTGGTTCCAGTTCACAACCCGTTGATGTATTCACAGATCATAATCCACTTGTCTTTTTGCAGCGTATGTGTAATAAAAACCAGAGACTTATGCGTTGGGCACTCATTTGTCAAAGTTTTAATTTGCACATTAAGTACAAGAAAGGTGTTGACAATGTAATTGCAGACTCTTTGTCCAGATGTCATTTGTAAACTTGTAACCATGTTTACTCCTATGTGTGGGGGTGTTACGACCCTATGGTTTGTATCTTTCTATCTCTGTTGTTTTGTCAGTCTCTCAGTGTGTCTGTTTAGGAACGTCGTCTGATTGGTTCCTGCAGGATGATTGGAACGCCCATCTGATTGGTTCCTGCACGTTGATTGCTGCTCGATCCTGATTGGTGCAGCTTGTGTTAAAAAGAGACATCACTTCCTTTACAGGAAGTCGGGAGATATTGTGTTTTGAGCAGAGAGAGTTTGTGATTTGAATGTTAAGAGTTTTGAGACTGAGTAGCCATTTGTTTGTTTGATTTGAAAGAGAAAGTTTGTGATTTGAGACTGTTAAGAGTATTGAGACTGTGAGTACTGTTTGTTTATTTGTTTTGAAAGCTGTTTGTATCTGAATATCCTCATTGGTATATTTGCCCCTTTGCCTGTTTACCGACACTGATTTGGACTGCCCTTTTCAGTTTGTTTGCCTGGTTGTATATATTGTAAATACTGATTGATTTTTGGGAAAGTAGGGAGCTCGACGCCATTATTTTCTTTATTGTAAACTGTTTTCTCTGTTTTTGGTTAGGGAGATAGGTTTATTGATTGTATCTTCATTTTCTTTTCTTTTGGGTTAGGGTTTAGGAAAGAGGTTTAAATTTAAGGTTGTTTTGTTTGTTATTTTGGCTTTGTCAGCTCCTGAATCGTAAGTCCCAAATTAAGAATAAATAACTTTTGTTCCAATTCCTCGCCTTTTGTTGACTCTTTCATGTTGCCCCTTTTCCCCTAGACGGGGTGTAACACTCCACTAGTGATCTGTGAGAGACAGTATCGTTGTCACATGGTTTGACAATTTTGTTTTCATGACAAAATATTTCTGTTTTGCTCTTTGTTAAAGCAGTATTGCTGTTGGGCAGTTATACAGCTATTTTTTTCTGATTAGTCTGTATTTAGAGCATGAATGGATACACATAGATGCGTACTTCTTTTGTGGGGGTGGTAGGAGTGTTACATAAAAAATGAAGATGATTAGGGCTGTCTTTTTTATCAATTCAGTTGTTTAATTTCTATAGGTTTTGAAACATTCTTAAAGCCTACAGATACTTCAAACTGGTCAGTGTATTCACTAGGTTGCTTCAGAGGCATAAGGTAATGTAACAATGCAACAATAATAAAACAATGAATTGACATTTACTTTTGATACTCAAGTAGCCTACTTTCAAAAGCAAGCACCTCTGTACTTTTACTATAAGTAAAAATCTGTCTTTACAACTTTCACTTGTAATGGAGTAATATTTGACCAGTAGTATCTGTACTTTCATTCAAGTAAGGAAGTTGTGTACTTTGTCCACCTTAAGCAGAATTTGGTGAATCAGTTTCTCATAATGTATGTCAGATTGGCCATTCTTTACATTACACGGTTTTCTTGACCAGTGGTTTTAATTTTGTTGATGCCAAGTATCCCCAAAAATGAGCATCTTCATCCTAAAAATTAAGCCATCCCCCCATCCTAAAATTTAAGTCATCAATATGTTTGTCTTGTACAAAGGCCCAGCCCAGTTACCCTTACTGTGAAATAATATGTCTAAAATATTAATTGGACAATTTTTAATTGCTATTAAGTTACTTTATTATGTTTCTTTTTATTATAATACTGTACGGTTGTGCATTATTTAATTTTTGAATTATTTATTTACTCATTTGTTTGTTTTAATCAAATTTTAACTTACTTATTACTTATTTGACTTATTTCAACTACTTTCATGTTTCTTGTGTGGAGTCGATCTCTCATTTCATACAATTGATAGTGGTAAAAAACATTGATTCTAACCGCAGGACCTTGAGTCCACTTGATTCATATGGACTGGATTTGCAATGTCTCTATGAACATTTTGAAGCATCAAAGTCTTGGCGAAATGGACTTTCAAATGCAAAGCTAACAAGGCTATAACATATTTGTTGTCATTGGTGTTCTCTGTCCCTGACAGGTGTGAATGCATATCTTAAAACAAATTATTGGCTAACAAAACAAATGTCTTTATTGTCAACAGCTTAAATAGAAATCCAATAAATGTCTGAAGCAATTCCAGATTAAAAATAATAATAATGGCAGCGTATCAAGTAGCATTGCTATATTGGGCAGGAGGGAATACTACAAGGTTAAAACCTTACAGTGTGATTGTTGCTTTCGGCAGTCCTGGGTATATTCTGATTTTTGCAAGGAATACAGCTTTTCAGGTTTGACCTGTTCGGATTTTGAATTATTAAATCCGCTTTGCTCTGATGTTAGTACAAAGTGTGCAGTCCCAGGGACATATGATGATACGGTGCGCTGATATCAGGAAATCCAGCACTATATATAAAAGTAGCAGGTTATGGGAATGTAAACATAAGCAAAAAGATATAATACAGCCAAGGCAACAGAAAGCCTTTCATTTCAGACTGGCTGGATGCAATTTCATGGCCTGTTCTAGCTGCTGTGGAGGAAAGGAATTGGGTAAAAAAGTGAAATCGATTGCCTGGATTGCATTTATACCTTATTGGACCACTTTTTTGTGCAGTGATAGTGCCAAAAATGGATCTCTAGTCGGTGCTAGACTGACAGGAAGAAAAGAAAATGGTTTGAGCTGTGCCAAAACATGCTCTTATCCTCTGGCCTGAGATAAGGGCTCACAGAGCCAAGGATCAGAGAGTACATCTAATATATTCCAACTCCATTGTCTTATGTGAAACAAATATGAACAATGTGTATTATTTTGAATAAATTATTAATATGCAGGAAAGCAGGAACCACTATTGAATTTAGGAAATAAATTACCTTGAAGAATTACATTGTGTGAGACAGCATCCATATAAACTACTAAGGTCTGTATAATTGAAGATGAACCTTGAAACAATTCTAATGTTTCCTTGAGCTGATTGACAACAGCGTGGCAATTAGAGGGAGAGAGATAGTTTGAAATTTATGGATTTAGTAGTTAGGTTGGCATGAAATGAAAAGTCTCCTCATCTGTTTTCTAAATGCATAGATGTCTAAATGCCTAAATGGTTTCTAAATGTCATAAACTCAATATTCTGGTAAAAAGACTGACTTTTCCAATTATTTAGTCCATTAAGTAGGCTAAATCTCTCAGTATTTACATTCCCTGTAAACAATGTTTTTGGGTCACATTTCACCACAAAATAAGAAAAAAAGTTATTATATCAAATTATTTTTAGTTCATTTAGATCTCATAATTTATATGATTAAATAAATAAATGTTTTTATTTATACATTACAAGTTTGTATACATTATGATGCATTTTATAAAAGTTTTTATACGTTGTAATTTATTGTATTTATGCTGATTTAAAAAATTGTAATACAGTAATTTTATTATTCATTGATGATATAGGAGTTTAACAAAAATCTTAAAGTAAAACACCAGAATGCATTATAATGAGAAAATAATTCAATTGAGAATTTGGGTAAAAAAGTGCTTATTTACTATAAAAATCTTATCAGTGCTAAAAGCAGGCTGGAACTTTAAACAAATAAAAAAATCTAGATTTTTCTGTTGATTTTGGAATGACTCTTGAAATCACCAATATTTTGTTATATTTGTTTTAATCAGAAAACCTAAACCTATGAAAGAACTGAATAAATGAGGGATGAATAGGTGAATAAAACTAAGCATTTGGGTTACCCATATTGGGTTTTGTGAGGGAACTGCAAGGGCGTTCATGAGTTGATTAAAACAGCAAATAAATAATTAAATAATAAAAATGTCAAATTAAAATAAAAAACACTTTTTTCACATTTAATTTGTTTACCTGCATGTGACCATTAGCCAACATCAGTGAACAGTGAACATGCAAATGTGTTATTCAATTATTTAAATATTAACTTAAAATCACAGGGGGTAGTAAATATTTTAGGTCAAAGGGGTTCGGCTTACAAAAAGGGTGGGATTCCCTAGGTTACACTAAAAACACATACATTTGTAGCATTATCCAAACTACAAAGTGTGGCTCTGGCATGACAGCTACAGAAATCCATGCAATTGAAGAAAATATTACAGTTTCTGTGACTCACAGTAATTCTTTCAGGCTGATCTGGAATAAGGTTCCTCCAGTAGCCTACTATTGATTAGTCCTAAAATTTCTTCTTTACTCTGAGTCTCAGGGAGTTTTTTTCTGGCCACTGTGGCATTGTTCTTGCTCACTGGGGGTCTGGGCTTCCAATTATGTAAAGCTGCTTTGCAACAGTTACGTATTGTTAATAGTACTAGCCTATACAAATAAATCTTAAGTGAAAAGAAAAGAAAAGAAAAGAAAAGAAAAGAAAAGAAAAGAAAAGAAAGAGGGGGAGCTGCTGGGTTGGTTCTGTTTACCAGGCTATATTTAAGTTGTGGAAGTTGCAGTGCTTTTAATGGGATACATGTCAATACAATTTCAACGGGAACAGAAGACAAATGTGACGAATAAAAGTGAGGAAGAAAGATAAGATAAAATAGATGTGTCACCAGTTATTATTCAGGGCCGTAACCACCATAAACATGAGGGGCATATAAATATCAGTTACCCATAGCACAAACACAAGCACATACGTTCCTAATGGGATAAACTCCCCTGATATTGCTTTGAACTGTTTTACGAAAACAGACGGCCTCGAAAAAAGCCCATTGGCTGTCATGGACGCTCGCGCGACGCTGATTGGCTGCTGCCTGTTTCCGGGGCTCCATGCCATTAGTGACGTCTTCCCAGTCGCTGTGAGACAGATTGGGGAGAATGGCTGCCAGTGGAGGTTAGATCTTCTCTTCAAAATCCAAACTTATGTCCAAAAGTTTTCTAACTTGTATACGCGTAATTTATCTGTGATGTTGTTTTGTTTTGATGGAATGTGATAGAGTTTGACAGTTTGATTAAATAACCACCGGAGTTCGCCGTATGTTTGGATATAGGCAGAAAAGTACGGATAGGTAGCAGCTAGCGAGACTAGCTCAGCGAGAGACTGTAAACACTCGCTGGTTTACGATACCATTCATTCAACTACGTTAACCTTCGTTTAACTGTGTACTTTCATGACAACAATGCGTTGTCACGGTATATTCCGTGCTATGAAATGGCTCTAGCCTGGACTTGATTGGCTCTCGAGACCGGACTAGCCTGATGTTGTGCTAACCGGTAAAACAGCACCTGGATTAGCACAGCTAATAAGTTAAGCATCGAAACTCGCTTACTCGTAGTAACCAAACAAAGGTAGTTGATCAGATTAGCAGGAGAGTATTAAATGTCTGAGCATGCCAAAAGCAATACTAGTTGTTTAGACCATTTGGCTTATTTTATCCGGATCTAGTTGCACACACATATAACTAAGGGATGTGGTTGGTTAGTTGGTTTATGGAAAACATGTTTTGTCTGTTATTTTTGTCACTATGAATAGTTCTGAAACAACATTAGCAAGTAAGCTTGGATGTCGTTGACTTTTTGCACAGAGGATGTGGGTTGAGAACATCTGTTGAATGAGCTCTTCACTCAAGTCTTTGTTTTGTCAAGTTGTTGTTTAGCAGGATTTTCATTGAACCCAATGTTTTTGACTCCGCCTTTAGTTCTAACACCAAGGGCTAGTTAAGAGTAAAAACGCTCATTTCCCATAGTACATGTCAGTTTAAAGGTTCGAATTATGGCTCTAAAATCGATTGATCGCATCTAACTCAAAAGTCTGTTTACATAATATATGTGTGTATATATAATATTATATTTATATATAATATATATTTCTGTGTGCGTAAACTGTATATACACACATTTATACATACTGTAAGACATTAGAATGTAAAACTGTCACTGTAAAAGAGTCCTACTTGTAATTCATGTTGTTCATTGCCACTATAAAATGTCAACTGTCAAACGCTTTTGTCTTGTAGACATAGGAAAGCTGTTACAAGTACAGAATGGGACTCCAGCAAGCACAAGTTACAACGGGGTAGATGCCCTACATGCCTGTAACATCCTCCAGCAGCTTAAAGCCTTGTACGATGAAGCTCAGTTGACTGACATTGTCGTGGAAGTGGACCATGGGAAGACATTTTCTTGTCACAGAAATGTCCTCGCTGCCATCAGCCCTTACTTCAGGTAGCACCCGCACAGACCCCACCACTAAACCTTCAACTGTTTTTGTAACATTTGTTGAGAAATTGCAAAATATAGCCTCGATTGAAACACAGACCCTTCATTCATTGCAGATATGATGTATAAAGATTTAGTCATTAAATTATTTATTATACACTGATAAGTAAGTTTTAAACTGATTGATTAGCCAGTCAGTGTTTTCCTATTCATTTTGGCTGATAGCAATACTTCAGTCGGCATGAAACGGAAGTTGCGATTGTCTTTTCTCCCCTAATGTGACGTACATCTAAGTGAAACTGCTTCTCAAACAAGAAAAATGTAGGACGGGACTTTTTGTCCATCAGGAATTGATTGTATCATTGGATTGTTGTGGTTTGGTATTGCTGTGATCTCATGTGAGTGAGTTTGTCTCGCCCTCATGCCTGTAAACATCATCAGTGTTGAGAAGAGATTTCACGGCAAGAGAGATGGGAAGTTATTTTGATTAAACATTACGAGGTCACAGTAATTAAAAAAAAGGATGGTTACAGATAATTTTTTTTTTTTTAAATGCAATGTGCCATAAATAAGAATTGTCCATTTTGATTTCATGGTGACTAATTACAAAAGAAAACGTTTCCTGGTTCAATACAAGATAACCTCTATTGGCAGAATTTGTCCCTCAGTTTATATAAAAATGTTTACAGTAAAGATCCTTGCAGTGTAAGTGCACAGGGACAGGCAATTAACATTAAAATATCTACTGTTTCAAGAATATTGCCACAAGATTTTGTTGGCATGAGACTAATGTGATAAAATCATTCAAGTCATTGTTTTAAGGGTTCAGCAATGATTTCTGAGAAACACTTTTGATATGTAAAATCAACCCAAACAAACACCCCTCCCTTCAACTGCACAAACCCGCAATGCATGAGTGGATGTGTCTATCTTAGCTTAAAGTTTAGGAGATTCCCCCTTCCATGTAAAGCGCTTTGAGTACCCAGCGCTATATAAATGTAACACATTATTAATTATTATTATTAGCTGAAGCAAAGCAAAATAATACTTTGCGAAAAATAAAGCGAAGATGACAAATTAATAAGGAAGAGCAAAAAATGAACATACAGTCCACAAGAATATATAATGTACAAGCAAGAGTTTGTTGTTAGTTGCCAGCAGCTCCAGACAAGCAATGACACTCAAAACTGTCCTGTTACTATAGATAACATTACAATAACAGCATATCTTGGTTCTTTGAAACCGCAAAACCAATGTCACTCGCGCATGGAGCAGAAAAAACTCAACCTCGGTATCCGCCTTCCTGCTTGGGTCTATTAAAGGGTTAGTTCACCCCAAAATGAAAATTATGTCATTAATGACTCACCCTCATGTCGTTCCAAGCCCGTAAGACCTCCGTTCATCTTCGGAACACAGTTTAAGGGTGTATCCACACCTACCTTGGTTGGTTCGATTGAATCGAACTCTAGTTCGTTTCCCCCCTTGGTGCGGACCTTTTGGGCAGGTGTGAATACAGCAATCGAACTCGGGTGCGGACCAAACAACCGAACCGAGACCCAGCTGAAGAGGTGGTCTCGGTACGGTTCCAAACGAACTCTGGTACGGTTCGTTTACGGTGTGAACATGAACCGACCCAATTGCAAGAAAGCACTGCGCCTTTGAGTTAACAGGCTTCCGTAGTCGGAGATTTTGGCATAATGGTTTGTGTTATTGTTGTTCAAGTGCGAAAGAGAATTCCATTCCGGCGCGCTGTCTGGCCACACGATACTGTTGCGCGTCTTTCTGCGCGTCGTGTGTGCATCATTGGAATGGAATGAATGAATGAGTGTGTGCATCAGGACATTCACATACAGAGCGTTCTCTTTAGTCTAATCACGCATAGATGCAAAAAAAGCTTTTGCAGTTCATATAATGTAACGATAGTTACAATACAAGGATGATGCTGCGTTAAACTGGACAAACTTAATCGCAAGCGTTAACATTGACAGCACTTGTTAGCAGTATATAATAAGAATCTCATTATTTGAATGTATGAACATAGCCCCTCTCTATGAATGAAAACTTTATACCTTATCCGTCTTCTGCGCAGTTTCTTCATATTGCGTTTGTACAGAATAACTCAAAATTTGTAAAATAATAAATATTGCAGTACGAAATATCTCCATGCTGAGCCTTTTTTGCACTTCCTGATTTCCCTACTTGAGAATCCTTGTCCAATGAATGGACGACCTTAGCACACGTGTGGTTTTGTTTACAAATTTTGGTTCACTTGCAAAAAGAGCAGTGTGAAAGCGAACCGTACCCAAAAAAAAAAAAAAATTGGTCCGGACCAAAGCAAGTGAACTATCGGACTTTCCTGGTGTGAATACACCCTAAGATATTTTAGATTTAGTCCGAGAGCTTTCTGTCCCTCCATTGAAAATGTATGTACGATATACTGTCCTTGTCCAGAAAGGAAATCAAGACATCATCAAAGTAGTCCATGTGACACCAGTGGGTTAGTTAGAATGTTTTGAAGCATCGAAAATACATTTTGGTCCAAAAATAACAAAAACTACGACTTTATTCAGCATTGTATTGTCTTCCGGTTCTGTTGTCAAACCGCGTTCAGTGACGCTGATGACATAAGACGCTATATACAATGAACCTAAATCAACAGGCTAAAGGACACTTACACAAGGAACTTTTGCCTATGGTTTTAACAAAAATACCACAGCTAAAACAACTAGCCTAACTAATATAAATGTCAAGCATTTATAAAGACAAGTAAACACTCAGTAATTAAATGAGAACAAATTAGCAACAATAGCACAAATAAATACAACCAAACAAAGATACAAATGAAATAAACAGTGTTTTAAGATTTTCAGGTAGGTCTTGTTCTTTAATATAGTAAACTGTAATCAAATGTAAAATAACTTAATATTTTTACTTAAAATTACTTAATAAATTATTAGGCTGCTGTCACTTTAATACAGAATTCATGGATCCAATATACTGGTACACCTGCATTTTCTTTATCAACTGTTTACATTGATGCATAACTCCTGCTTTGTTGTGTTCACATTGTAATGGTGTTTTGTTTTATCTTCAGATCCATGTTCACAAGTGGCCTTACAGAGAGCAGTCAGAGGGAGGTGCGGATTGTTGGCGTGGAGTCAGAGTCCATGCATTTGGTTCTGGACTATGCTTACACCTCACGGGTCACTCTCACCGAGTCTAACGTGCAGGCCCTGTTTACCGCCGCCAGCATCTTCCAGATCCCAGCCCTCCAAGACCAATGTGCCCAGTTCATGATCAGCCGTTTAGACCCTCAGAACTGCATTGGGGTCTTCATGTTCGCAGATGCCTATGGCCACCAAGAGTTGCGTGAGCGTTCACAGGATTACATCCGGAAGAAGTTCCTGTGTGTGATGGGAGAGCAGGAGTTCCTTCATCTGACCAAAGAACAGCTGGTCAGCATTCTCAACAGTGACGATTTGAACGTGGAAAAAGAGGAGCATGTGTACGAAAGCATTGTGCACTGGTTGGAGTACGATGGTCCACGTCGGGAGGTAGATTTACCCGAGGTTTTTGCCAAATGCATCCGCTTGCCCCTGCTGGACGAGGCCTTTCTGAGCCGTATACCCCCAGCCTTCGCCCTGGCCTTGTCCAGGGATTCCTCGGATAAGGGTTGGCTCAACGGCACCAACGGCTGCCCACAGCGGCTGGGTATGACTGCATCCGAGATGGTCATCTGCTTCGATGCAGCTCACAAGCACTCAGGGAAGAAGCAGACCGTGCCTTGCCTGGACATTGCTGCCGGGAAGGTGTACAAGCTGTGCAAGCCGCCCAATGACCTCAGAGAGGTCGGCATTTTGGTCTCGTCAGAGAACGACATCTTCATTGCTGGAGGCTATCGGCCGAGCAACAGCGAGGTGTGCATCGACCACCGCGCAGAGAGCGACTTCTGGCAGTACGAACATGCTGGCAACAGGTGGCTCCCACGGTCGCCCATGCTCCGGGCACGCATCGGCTGCAGGCTGGTGCACTGTTGCGGGAAACTCTACGCTCTGGGTGGTCGAGTGTACGAAGGGGACGGACGAAATGCTTTGAAATCCGTGGAGTGCTATGATGCCAGAGACAACTGCTGGACGGCAGTCAGTCCCATGCCGGTGGCCATGGAGTTCCACAGCACAGTGGAGTATAAGGACCGCATCTATGTGCTGCAAGGTGAGTGGGGTTGTTGCAGAGTCGCCTGAAATCAGGGTCATCAAAGTGTACAAACACATATATCCTTGTAATTCATTGGCCTGTCATGTCTTCTAGCCCTGCTTAGATGATAAGGTCAGATGGGTTAACCTCTCTCAGCAAAATCAGCAATAACTGAGAGCATAAAAGAGCTAGAGTAGCTCTTAATCTTCAGGGATGCACCGACATTTCAGCCCCGGAAAAAAAGTGCCATAGGAAGTTATTGGTCGAAATAAAAAAAGGGCAACTGATATTTTGCTGGAAAGAGCTCGCGTTTTTAGTTGATTAGCCCGTCATTGATATTGATATTGTGATGCTTTGCAATTTGATTGAATCATGTGTGGTTAAAATAAAGATTGTTTATAGTCTATATTACACACTGAAACATGCATAAATACAAAGTTACACTGTTTTCTCTTGTTTTAAAAAACATTGGTAGCACTATTTTAGTGTCCTTGTGACATATATCACATGTACTTACTGTAGTGTACTTTTTCAATTAAGTAGTTTCTTTTTAACAACTATACAATAGAGTTGTCAATGGTACTGAAAGAGTTGTCAATGGTACAGAGTGGTACTTAAATTTTAAAAAGCGCTATTGAGCGGACTCGTAAACACCTCTGATTGCCCATTGTACTCGCGCGCTCATCGGACATGTCTTTGATTGGCTACAATGATCAGCGCTTCAAAAACATGTTGTAAATATACTTCACTGATGCTCTTCACCGAGCGCTTACACAGATACAGACGGGAGCAGAAAGCTTGTGCTTTCAAACGCTCACGTTTTTTAAAACACTTTCAAACACTTCCGTGTGCTCTCAAACGCTCCAGTGCGTTGATCATTGTAGCCAATCACAGACATATCTGATGAGCACGTTAACACAATGGCCAATCAGAGGTGTTTACTATTCCGCCCAAAGCGTCACAATTTAAAAATGTCAGTTCTGACTTGGTACAGAAGTCGGTACTTTTGACAACTCTACTATACAATATAACATACTAATTTGTGATGTTATTTACATATTTAGCAATATTGGCAACCCGTTTGGATAGTGATCATTCTGTTATTACGACTCTTTCTCAGGAGAGTACTTCTTCTGTTTTGACCCTCGCAAAGACTACTGGGGGCATTTACCGTCCATGAACGTTCCCCGTACTCAAGGCTTGGCAGCCCTGCATAAAAACTGCATCTACTACATAGCAGGCATCTGCAGGAACCACCAGCGCACATTCACCGTTGAGGTGTACGATATCGAGCAGAACACCTGGTGCCGTAAAAGAGACCTCCCCTTCGACCAGGCGACCAGCCCCTACATCAAAGTGCTTCTGCTTCAGGGCCGATTGAATCTGTTTGTTCGAGCTACGCAAGTCATGGTAGAAGAACACGTGTTCCGTACCAGCCGCAAGAACTCTCTCTACCAGTACGATGATGAAGCCGACCATTGGACAAAGGTTTACGAGACGCCGGACCGCCTCTGGGACCTCGGCCGACATTTTGAGTGTGTGGTAGCCAAACTATACCCTCAGTGTCTTCAAAAAGTGCTGTGAGTGGCGAAAAGGGGGAGATCATGACACAACGGGCTGTTTGAGACAGCTGATCAATATTTTTGGAGGAGGGGGATGGTGGTACTGCTCAATACATGGTGCTGTCTGTGTCCCCAACACCAGAACTGCAGGGGAAGTCTTAAAGCGTTAAAGGTTTCAATCAATAAACTTGAGGGTGCTTTTTGAAAAAGTAAAAAAAACAACATCGGTGTTTTACGTTTGACTATTGTGCACAAAGCACCCTCACAATTGCTTGTTTTACAGTTAGAAAAGTGAATCATAAGTGCAATTATCATTTTTTTTTTGTTTTCACGGATGTTGAGTCATTTCTGCTCTATTGTTTCTTCAAAGTTTTTGTTGCTGTTTGGCTTGGGTTGTTGGCATGCATTGTTGGCGAACATGAGCAGTTGATGTCCTTAAGGACAAGCAGTATGTTAACAGCTGAGTAAAAAAAAATAGAATAATAGGTGAAAAAATAAATATTTATAGCTATAAATATTCATACGGGTATGATGAGCGATTTTGCTCACTGTTAGTGTGAATACTGTTTGTTTTTTTTAATTGTCTTTTCTTTCAGTTTTTCAGATGTATAAGTTGACCCATGCCACCTACAAAGACTTTCTGTGGTTTGCTTAAGAACTTAGAGAAGTTTGATTATTAATGGATATTATTTTGTTTGCCAAGATGTGGTTGTATTTCTTCTTTTTTTTTTATCTTAAATTTGTATTTTTCCTTTAAGTCTATAACATCACAGCAGTTTTTAATTTTCATTTGGACTCTGCTTTTATGACGTTTCGTTGAGCCCAGCTCTCACGTCGAAATCTATATCTTTGCAATTTCACATCACCAGCCAGATCTTTAGTGAGGTTACAAGATTATTCTCAGTCTCCATATTGGAGAAAAAAAAAAAAAGGATACCAGCTTTGTGTTGCTGAAATCAAAAGTGGGCAATTTGTTGACAGCCAATCAAACAACAAGAACCGCTCAGATCAGGAGAGAACATCGAGCGGGTTGGAGAAGAGGTGGCCAAAATGTGGACGCTTACAATCCACTGTCATTTATCGAGTCCTTGTATCTGAAACCTACAGGTGCAGTCTGAATATAAATGCCAAAACGTGTTCAAGGAGTCCTAGCCTGCACCCCATGGCAGCAATAACAGGTGTTCTGTCATTGTTTCTCTGATAAAGTGCATTAGAAACTTAAGCGATGAATAATTCCAGGAAAAATGGCCTTTGTTGGTTAACGATCAGTGAGATGTGTGTTGCTATCCAGGGATGTTACAGTGCCTGTTCATATGAAAAGCCCAGGCATCAGTGATGGTGTGAGCAAAGCCTATATGAAGTCTTACAGTACACTTTGCTTTTGACTTTAGAAAAGGTCTGTTTTGCAAATGAATCCAGTCCTCCTATATATATATATATATATATAGCATTCATGTACTCACACATGCCCTGTAAATGAACACTTTCTTTTATTTCTTTCCATCCCCTTATCTTCCAGTCGCAACTATGGAGAAGAATAATCGTTTTTGGTGCTGCTTTTTTGACAATCTTGTACAGAATATACAGTGATTTTACAGCCATTTGTCGTTGCTTGACGCTTCCAAAAGTTGTCAGTCTTCTAAGTTATTGTGTCTCGACATTTGTTTGTTTTTTCCGGCCTCATGTTTATTTCGCCATGCAGGTTCCTGATTTTGCACTACATTATTTCCTCCCTTGAAAGCGTCTCAGAATATAGAGCTCTGTTTTCAGACACGGAGACTGAGGACGTGGTAAGCGGCGTCTTTAAATAGGACAGCTGATGCGCTCTCATGTCGGGCTCTTTGGCGCCTGCGAGGCCGAGCCTCATCTGGGGTTTTGGTGAAGGGAGAGGGATGAGAAATGACATTGGCTTTGGTGCAGTTGGCCGCACGTTTCACATACGCTCAGTAGCACGGGAACCAGAAATGGACACTTCTCAGGATTATTGTTGATACACAGTACTGTATTTAAATGGTTTGTTGTATGTGTAATATACTGTACCATATGTTTGCTGTACTTGCACAGTTTTTTTAAACAGGATTTTTTTGTCCTTTATTTCTAACTTGAAAGGTAGATTTTTTTGGTTTGTCTGTTTTTCCTCTTTTCTGATGGGTGTTTAAATTTTTTTTTTTTCTATTTTAATATTTACTCTCTTAGGTTTGTTAGTTTATGATTTTGCTCAGTTAAATTGTGAATCACAAAAAACAGGACATTAACACAAGCATTTCTTTTTTTCCCAGAGTGTGTTCTTTTTTTTTTTCTTTGTGAATGCGCCAGTCTTAAAGAACACAAGCATTACAGAAAATAAGTTATGGCAGTGCTACTTTCCAAAACACCAGTCTGTCAGATGTTAAATAAAAGCTTTGAAAGAATTATAATTTATTCTTTTGTGTTGTTGGCTGCTGCAGGTGTGAATGCTCTACAGCCACTTCTTTAATTTTTTCTCAGCTTGCGGTTAATTTATCCTCAGAAGTTAAAACAGTGTTTTATTTTCCTTTTGGATTTCTGCTTTGCATTTTATTTTTTATGTCTTTGGTTTGCTTGTATGTATGGTGTGAGTTTAGTAAACATTCATTGATCTCTACTGTGAAATTCACCTTGCACATGATTTGAAAAATAAAACAATAAAAAGTAAATGGTGTTATGTTTTTATGAGTGAATAATCGGTATAGGAAGGTGACGACTTTTCTGTTAATGTCATTTTTTTTAATCAAGATTTTTATTGTTAAAACAAACTTTTTTTCTTTTTTTTACTCTGGGCATATCAATTAACAACATTTTTTTTCCTTTTTTTTTAATCACAGGACAAAATTGGGTAATGAGCTGCCTATAATTTTCTGTTATTTTACGGATTTCTTTGAGTTTCCTTGGTGGAAAGCAAGAAACTGAAAATCATTTATTTCTCATCTCTAACTTTTTGCACTGTTTTAGAAATCACTGTTTGCATTATGATAATATATAAAAATAGTGTATATGATGTTACAAACAGGTACTTAATTATGTCCTGGCTGATAAACAGCCACATTTTTTGGTTACCAAAGTCATAATTGTGTTGTTTTGGCAAGCATTAAGTGCAATATTACATTGTGCCCTTTAAAATGTTTTGTTCATATTTAGAAAGAAGATGAATGTATAGACAAGGAGGACATTTTAAGATATATATTTGTAGTGATCTGTGTTTGTTTAATATAAAATCACAAAAGAAAGAAAATACAAACCCAACCACACAGATTTCATTCAATGTTCTTTTCAGTTCTTTGCCCCTATATCACAGCTTCTCTCTGAAGTAATTATGTCTCATAAATCATCCTGAGCTTACCATTATATCTATCCTGATTTGAGTTTCTGCTTTTATCTAACTTGGCTTCACTAATGAATTTTCAAAATCCTTGACCATCTACTTTAAAGAGTTTCAGATGGCCGTGCTTCTCCTCCCTCATGCTTCCTGGTTTTTTTTATGCAAGGGTTTGCTCTATTTAATTATTCAACGGAAACCTATTTATAATCAAACTGGATGAGAACTAAATATTCATTTGCTCCAAAATTAAAACTTGGCATCTTATCTAACAGATTTTTGCTCTCACATTTGGGCAAATCTTAAAGATTCTGGCAGTACTTGGTGTTTAGTATTCATTTTAAAGAGGACCTATTATGCTTTTGTACATTTTCAACTTTCTTTAGTGTGTAATGTTGCTGATTGAGCATGATAAAGGTCTGCAAATTAACAAAACACAAAGTCCAGATAGCATACATATCCGGGCCTCATCTGGGCCAACCATTGCACATATGGCTCAGTTCTGGCAACGACAAAGGGGCCGTATCTGGCCCACACAGATCAAGCCAGTTTAAGTGTGAGTTGTGTCTTGCTGTGTGTGGCCCATGTGAACTTTGCCGCTGCCAGAACTGAGCCATATGTGCCATAGTTGGCCCAGATGAGGTCCGGATATGTATGCTATTGCTAGCCACACTAAGGTTGAATCATCGCCGTCATTCCAAACGGTATGTGGGCCAGAAGAATGTGGGAGATGTGGGCTGGGACAACTGGGATTTGCTATCTGAGATTATTCTCTATATCATTAAGCACTGTATTTGAACACTCTGAAATGGCTCCATTGTAGTCTTGAGTTTTCTTCCAGGAATGTACACTTCACAATTCCCACCCAATGTATATGCAAAAAAAAACAAAAATAGGGCGAGGCCTGGTTTAGTTGCGTTAGGACCTGTCCCAAATGCCACACTTCATATGCACTTACAGCATCCACAAGACTGAAGGGTGTCCCATTTGTCATTTTAGGTTTCAGAAGTGTGCTCGCGAGCGCCCCCTTTTGCGGTCGATATGCACCCCTCACTGTACACTTTTGCAGAGCCCGCACTGAAGCGAGCTCCGCAGCAGACTTCTACCCGAAAGCGGTGTTACAAAAGTGCAGACTCGTAGGAAGACCGCGAGGCTGCCATTTGGGACAGGGCCTTAGTAATATGTTGAAACTTGTGGTTTTGGTAAGGGACGAGACTTTTCCTAAGAATGCTCAAAGCATTTGACCAGTCACAAAAGTCCAGTCCAGACCAATCAGAGCATATTGTGATTTTTGGAAGGACCTAAATGAAGTAAACAGAGCATTACTGACAGACTGGGAAGAGAGGTGCTGCAATAATAAGATGTTCTTTGAACATTCAAGGATGAAAAGCTATTCTAGACCCCCAAAACAAATGATGTTTTAGGTTCGGGAGGAGCAGACAGATAATTAACCCAATTAGCACAAGTGGAGATCAATCAGTAATCAACTCAGGACAAGATAAATAACAGCAGAACCCACATGTGTTCCTTGACAGTTTATCAGCATCCCACCTCCACCCCATCTCCTTACTTTAGTTCCATCTCCTCTAGTTCCATCTACTCTCACCAACGGGGGGAGTACTCTGGGTTCGGGCAGAAATTCCGAGCTCGGAGCCCTCCACCAGCACGCCAAGTAGGCCTATGCAAAACCTTAACCATAATAATTATATGTAGATGTGAACTCATGAAAATCAAGACTTTGTAAAAGGACATAAGATCTTATGTCTTAAAGACACGGAGCCTCATTTATAAAATGTTGCCTATAAACCGTCCTACATTTGATCTTACGATCATTTATCAAATCTGCATAAGTGTGTTTTAGAGAATGGAAAACAAAATGTGCGTACGTCT